TGGACTAAGACTTTGGATTTTTCTTGGACTTGAAGGTTAATGACTTGGGACTTGACTCAGACTTGAGCTCTGTGACTTGAGAAGACTTGTGCTTCTAAAAAAAATATATGTTTTTAGAAAATAATTTACTACAGGATACTAATACTACAGGAACAAACTGGAAACTTATATTTGGTACTTTTAAGACTTGAAATGACTTGAAGCTCAAAGCAGATGACTTGGACTTGACTTGGACTTATGGGCCATTGACTCGAGACTTGACTTGGACTTGCCTGTATTTGACTTGGGACTTGAGGTCAAAGACTTCAGACTTACTTGAAACTCACAAAAACTTGGTCCCACCTCTCTCTGGTTTGTAGTAAATTTAAATTACATCATTTGGGGAAAATAATCAAATCCGGCCAAAAATACAATCAGAGCAACTCGGCTAGGGTTGTAAGAAAATATCAATTCAGTGATATTTGCGATACTTCATTGCGCGATTCTTATATCGATTCAAAATGTGTCTGAATCGATTTTTCAAAGTCATGTTTTTCAAGTTCAATTTAATGTTCTCATGAGTTACAAATTAAATAAACTGTATTTCATTCAATTTCGTTCTTGTGAATGTGTACTTGACCAAAAATTATACCAAATTATTGAGAAGTCACAATATATATCCTCCTTTGTTTTAGTATCAGGATATATTGAACCATGACAGCTATATCGTGATGTGTATAATATCAGCCATCAGTTTATTTGGATTATAAACAATCGGCACCAGCCATGAAAAACACATTCATCAAACTCTAATCTCACCTTCATAATTGTGCGCACTGAACTAGATCTTGATTTAAAAATACAAAAAATTGCAATAAAACATCTTACAATCACAATACAGTTCTGCCTCATGACCAAACATTTTGTGATTTCAAACTGACACATCTTCCGGACCGTTATCTTGCTTGTTCCAACTCACTTCCTGCCCTTATGAGCTCGTCCAGTTGGGAGTTTGGGAGCTGTTTCACTTCCTGTTTCTGCTAGCTGCTATTCACAAGCGCTTCCCTTTGCATCTTGTGTTTCCAGGACACACCTGCGGACGGACTGCAGATCTCACAGGGACAACGGCAGCTACTGTTGCTCTGTCCTGTTGTTTGAATCACAGGATCAGTGCCCTCGGTTAAAGGTTAGTCATACAAGGGTAAAACAGGAGCTAAGTAGCCAGCTGTACATTTCAAAAGGGCAGTAAAAGACTAAACTAGAAAAAACTGGAGCGATGTTAAAGCTGCACTATAACTTTTGACCGTTTGTGTGTGACTTGTCTCCACAAAGATGCCCCATGTTCCGCAGTATGGCACTGAACATTTCTATCTTGCATTTATTTTACACATAAATGTTAATTATTACTGTGAGCGACTGTCTCTCCGCAGATCTGACCTGTAACTTGGCCAAGACAATACTAATGGGACAAGGGCTGTGAAAAAATATTGAAATATCAGTACATAGTATTGTTTAATTTGATGATACAGTATCAATATCGTGGGCTGCTGTATCGATATATCGCCAAGAGTATTCTTAGGTATATTTTACCAAATTATTTTGTGTAACAGCTACAGTTGTGTTGACATTTTCACTGTTTTGATGGGTAAAATTTGTGTTTTTCATATTAACTTTGCACAAACTTATTGGACTCAATAGACTTTTAACATCACAGCCATGATTTAGTCGTTTTTTTACACTGAACAATATTGAATTGATTTGAAATATATTGTATCAACTCATATTGAATCAAAAGTGCTCTATATCGAAAAGCATATCGTATCATGGCCTATGTATCGAGGTATGTATAGTATCAGCACCTTAATGATACCCAGCCCTAGATGAGACCAACAAGTGTGATTTTTCATTGAAACTTAGAAGAGGAAAAATTTTATTTAACTTTGAAACAGCTCGTTGAAAAAAATCCACTATTCTGTGATGACAGTTAGCCTGTAGATATTATTACACTATATTTTATGTCATTTCATAGCAGGAGTAAGATTTCTTATTTTATTCAACACTGTCTCAACCTCCTCCTATAGTCTGAACAATGGGCATAGACTGTATAAAAGAAGTGGACTAAGCGAGTGTGACATCACCCACAGCGTACAGCTCCACTTAAATGAAGCTCTCGAATCTATGATGCGAATCTGGAATCATAGCAACCACAAGAGCCAATCATGACTGACGTCATTAAATGTGCCTGCCCTTCTCATCAGAAAGGGGGAAGGGGGCTTACTTAGCAACGAAACGCACTAGCTGTCAATCACACCTGTTGCTAAGGCTAGTGGGACCTCGTGGAATAAAATAAACATTAAACTTTCTTGGGCATCTTTTTTTTCCCAACTGTTGCAATGGAACACATTTACAACCATGTCTGGAGAACTGACTCGAATTAATAAACTACCAAAATTGAACAGAATCCGGCAAAAGAGACGGGCGACAAGATCCCAATGTAAGTCTATTGGAGCGAGGGTCAGAAGGAGCCTCAAGAGCCAACTTCCTATTTGGAACGAGGTGGCCATTCATATGTATGATCTCTAGTCTTGAGGATTTTAAAAGTACTCGAGTATACATCAATAACATATCAGTCAATAAGTGGCCTACTTCCAATCCACATTTAGGAAACTTCAACAAAGCAAAACAAACACAGAGACTGAATTGTATTTGGATGATAGCTACTGTAGCACAAGATATCATCAACACAACATCCTCTCTAATCTCACATACATACTTATATGACACTAATAGGGGCAACCTCCAGGCATATTAAACCATAGCGTTGGATTGGTCTGGGTGGCGGCCCCTCCCATGGGTGAAGCAAGGGGCGCTGAGATTGCCGGTGTCAGCGGGACGTACTGTTTTGTCAACAGAGAAGAAGAACACACAGGCTACAGGCGGTCAAAACATACGGCTCCCGTGAGTCTGACTGAAAATGATTAAAGACACTGTGTAACTTTTCCGGTGGAGGGTCTATCCGGTGGAGGGTCTATCACCTGCTTCTATCCATGGAGATGTCCCAAAGTACGGCATTACAGTTATTTATCTCCACGGACACAGCAGGTGACACCAAATCGCAAGTTTAAGGTCAATAAAAACCCATGTTATTGTATAAATGCAACACAGATAATTATGTTTAATGCCACACCGGGACATTCCAGACAAAGAATTTACATCTCCATGGAGACAAGCAGGACCCTCCACCAGAAAAGTTACACAGTGCACCTTTAAGCCCTTCAAATAGGGTTCAGAATGATGAGAAATTAGGACAGTTACCACAGTGATTACCAATTTCAATTATATCTTTCCAATGGGAAAAGGGAAAATGAGAAAATATGTAACTAAAAACTAGCAATAAAAAATAACCGATCACTCCATTACTGATCTTGTTCATTCAAAGTTGATCTGTTGACTGTTTTTTCCCAATATTTTATGGTTTCTTATCTACAAAAAAACATTTAAATATGACTTTTAGCCATGCAGTTGATGAACAAAGTCAGTACAAACATTAGAATTAAACTACAAAGCCATTTAACACACAAAATTATCCAGTGTATTACTACAAACTCAAAAAAGATTAGCTGCAGATCCATCAGTTAAAAAAAAAACAACAAAAAAACATTATAATTGCAAGAGATTAGTTTGATTTTGATCAAGATTTGATCCATTTCCCAGACCTAATTTAAAGTTTTTTGATGGTGTATATCTATAAAATGCCACCAGATACAGCTGTTTACCTTAATAAATCATTCACAACTTCTTTAAAGCAACATTCAGCTGTAGCATGCCCTAATTTCTAAATCAAAGGCGATGGCAGTGGTAAAAGTAGGCTGCGTACAGTACAGCCAGTCAAAGTAAGAGTTTAATACACCAGCTCAGCTCTCACTCTCTCTAGAAACGAAGCAGCAGTTATAAAAGGATTATTCTGCTCTGAAAGACATAATCACGTGTAACACTCTTGTTTCAAATCCTGTGAAAAACAAACAGGTTTTAAAATCCACTTCTTCATCCACTTTGGGCTACTGCACTTGTGACGGTTTAACTATGAAAATGCAATAACTGAGCTTTAATAACGAATTTATTATTAAAAGACTTTACTTTAATGGTGCATTGTGTAACTTTTCTGGTGGAGGGTTCGTCAAATCCTTTTCTCCATGGAGATGATGTTTCACAGTATGGCATGAAACCTTTCTATCTTCATGGAGACCAAACTAGACCAAGTTACAGGTCAGAGCTGTGGAGTGGCGACCCCGCTCACAGTCACAATGCTTGTTTCTCACAGTGTTTTTGAGCGATAAAACCACCTGTAATTGAATAAATATAAAGTAGAGCTGTTTAATGCCATACTGTGGAACATTCCAGACAGAGCAGTGCCAAATCCGTAGAGGCAAGCAGGTGACGGACCCCCAACCAAAAAGTTACACAGTACATAGTAATGTTAAGCCATTTTGCCCATTAACCTTTAGCCTATTCATGTACATTCTGATTTTCTGCTTTATTCTTTTGTCTATAGATCTCCACAATATAAAATAGAAGTTATGGGGGAAATGTAACGTATTAAATCGAGTCTAGAAGCTTAATTCAAAATAAAAATGTATGTATGTATTGATAATAATAATAATAATAATAATAATAATACTCTAGTAGAGACCATTGAGGGAAAAAATAAATAAATAAATAAACGTGCAACACAAAATATCAACAAAAGGCAGCAGATAAAAAAAGTCAGTACAAAAAATACTGGTTGTGCGTAATTGTTCGTCAAAGCCACATGTATAATTATTCAAAAGTTTCAATTACGAAGAGAGAAAAGTCATTTATAAAGTAATATTTAACTGACAGGACACCTGACACCTTACTAATGAACGGAACACAAATACGTGAACGTCCCAGCAGCACGTAAACGTCAGAAAAACGTACAAAAACGCACAAGCACACCAAAAATTCCCGCCATGCAAAACGCGATAAGTTACTTTACTGACCTGGGAGCCCACAGCAGAAGGCAAAGACGAGCAAAGTAAGTTTCCTCCGAGTAGTGTAGACCTCCATGGTGGATGCCGCGGAATCTGCCACTTCTTAATTCGTTAATGTCCGTTTCTCGGCCTGAAACAGGGGGTCTTCTTCGCCCGAGGCACCGCTCTTGACGTCTGGAAGTTCGTGAAACGGTTTAGCCCGCGATGCTAAGTCAAGAGACACTTCAGGTAAGAAAATATGGACCCAACCGCGTCCAGGAATGCGCTGCTTCGCTCACTTTCTCCCTTTTATCGGTGTCAGGTAACGTGAAAAAGTAAAATAGATTGAGTGTTCTTGTCGTTTGGATGTCAGAGAGAGTACGGTGCAATTTGGTTCTTATCGAGAGCGCAGCGAGACGTCCACAACTCCGTAACTTGTCATGTGTCCCTTTCAGTGGCAGCAGTCGGAGGAAGGCAAAGGGACATGAAGCGAGAGGAGAGAGAGGAGCGCTCCAGACTACTGCGAGTACATGGTCAAGACAATTTCAAGGTATGTCTTTTGGATCCGGTAAGTCATTTCAAAGTAACACCGCTTTTACGCACATGGCGCATTTTTACGCACGGGGTTTTCAGCTGCTTTTATTTTGGTAACAGAGGATTTTACGTGTTTCTTGCTTACAATTTGTATCTTTGCTCTAGTACACCTGTTCTTTGTAGTAGAATATGCAGGTGCTTTTTGTGACTTGGCTCGAAGTGGACGAATTTAATGTGAACATGTCATGAAAAAGTATAGGCTTGGCAAATGAATGAATGGACTATGGCATATCTGAGACCGTGTACTTTGTTTTTAAAATCCTATTACATTAAAACTGGATAACATGTATTTTAGATGTAAAAAATAGTTTGTTTACCTCTTTTAAATAGACTAGAAATAAAAACTGTAAACTTTAACATTCCAGTGACCATTCAAATAGATAAGATATGATATTGTGTAATTATTTGCCTTGTATAATATAGGCTGCAACATTAAAAAATTCTAATTTCGTGAACATCTGAACTTGCTAGTTCCTATTAAATAACACTAACAGTAATATCATTGACCAATTTCAGTTTCATTCATTCATTTTCAAACAATATAGCTGTAAAAGCACAATTAATTAGGCATAAATATGTAAAAAAAAAAAAATAAAATCACGTATACCTTGATGTTTTGCTCGACTTCAGTCATCCCCAATAACATAATGATGAAAAAGGAAACCTGTATCTTATCATGAGGGGGAGGTTTAATAGTCATGTATATTTAAATGTCACCTAGCATTTCTGGCTTTGCAAATATTTCCTCTCTAAAGTAAAATTTCACCCTGAATATAAAAATATCTATGGATTTCAGAATGATAGAAATTAAGATAGTTGCAATAGCGATTCAAAAAAATTTAAACAAAAAGGTCTTCAGAATGTCCTAAGGATGTTGAAATGCTGAAAATGTAGGCCGAAACCCATGAATAGCCTAATAATAACTTGCCAACAACCCACAGATTTGTGTAGCTTCTTCAACTCAAAGCCTATTTCAGAAACCCACAGAGTGAATATCTCCTCCTCTGTCCTGGTCGCCCCTACACAAATTCTCTGCTTTATTTTCTCTCATGTGTGACGTGGTGGGCACATAAAAGCTCTAGGAAAAAAAACAACAAAACAAAACAGACTGGACTCAACTTGACGTGATTCCCAAGGTACTCTCCTGCCCCCTCCCCCCTCCCCTCTGTACAAAATCTAGACTGACCTGTGCTCTGCGAGGTGCTCAGACCCCTTTATTTCATTTTCCGAGGTTGCCCAGTTCCCTTAGCAACAGGGGTGAGGCTAATGCGCGAAGACTGCTCAATTATATAAGGTGAACAGGGGTTATTGCTGTGATTAGATTCAAAGAAGCAGGGTCCAATACAAAGGCATCGCATAGACATCTAGAGCGGACACTGGAACACATGGAAACCAAAAAGCACTGACGGTCATGTTCTGAGTGTAATGAGGTGCTGAAATTGCAGATTTTGATTTATTTTGTTAACTTGGCATTTTGGTCATAGACTACTAATAGACACTAGTATAAATGAACATGTTCCAAACATTAAGTGAGCATGAGTGTGCTTCTGGCTCCATGTCCAATTCACTTTGTATTGAAAAAATGTCACCCCTCTCTCCGTAACTGCGGCTTTCAAGCTCTTTATTTTGGTTGTAAAATGTCCATATTAACCCGCTCCGCATGATCCTGGTGTTTTTATTTTGGCTGTTTGGTCTGTAAATCGATTCCTGTTCCTAATATGGACCTCGACTCCAAATTTGCCCTAAAAACTGTTCATTTGACTGAGCCGAACGCTATCGGTGATTTTATACTCTCCTAGTCCACTTCTTTATGCATTCTGTATCAATAATTAGGGATGTAACAATAACCCAAATATTGTGATATCATATCGTCAAAGTTCTCACAATAATATCGTGGACCAGCAATATATCAAATTACAAGTCTCGTTCTTAAATTAAGAGTTATGGTGCAGAAATAGTAAAAAAAAAAAAAGACAGAGGGAACTACATAGACCATGATCCTTTGCTCCATTTCAGTGCAGACTACAAGAAGAAATAACAGTTCTAAGCACTTTTAAGTCTTAGTTCTTTGGATTAAGTCTTGTCAAGGCATTTTAAGAGGAAAAAGTAGCATATTAACAGTTTTATTAGTCTCCACAAAATATTGCAATAAATATCGTACCGAGAGATGTATATCGTGAAAATATTGTATTGAGAGATTTGGATATTGTTACATCCCTAATCATGAGCCTCCTCACTATATCGTGAGCTTTCCCAAGATATCGCAATAAATATCGTACAGTAAGGTTCATACGTGACAATATCGTATCGCAAGACTTGGATATTGTTCATCGTTACTACTAAAAAAATATCAGTGTATGTTTCCATTGTCATCTGCACAAAAAGATCCTGTACACTATAGGTGAAGTTACACTCCTTTAGTCCACTTCTTTATACAGTCTGACTCATACTCAGTGACACCTTTTGTTAATTATTATTTTCTGATTGTCAAACTTTACAACTATCAAAAGACGGCGCCCTCATTTACCACAACAAGACCACTCTAGTGTTCTTTAAGTCCACTCCTCCTCGCGGGGCCCAGATTTGGTTGTGCTGTTGTTAAATTGCATCTGGCCCTCAAGCTTGAACCATACAGCGCCGGGGAGAGGCTGTCAACACGATCTTGTTTTTATTCTGTGGGGGTGAAATAAACTCAGGGGGGCAATGCAGTACCATTATTTGACACTCAGAAAGCTAACAGTAAGCAGTCCCCACAACCCCAGGGGCAGGTTCAGTAGGTTTGCTATATGCTGTCAGCGAAGAATTGAGTGCAAACAGAAGGAACATTAAACAAAGAAACCATAAACATATTAATAGTACACTTGTGGCGCTTTACCGTGGAAGCATTTATTGGAAATGTTTGTAATAAAATCTACATATAGGAGCCCTGGAGTTAAACCAGTGAAGCTATTAAATGTATTTCACCATAAAAGCAGAATTGTAATGTGATTTTATTATTAGTTTTGTGTTATATTGCAAGAGGCCATGAGGGGGTATGGATTATTTATGTATTCTTTATCTTTATTCCAGAAATAGCCTTGTGTTAAGAGGTTGTGATAATCTACTGTTTTTGATCAGATTATCAGATTACGTTTACGTTGTTGAGTGATCTATAAGATTATAAGATTATTATTGTAACACTGTCACTGATTCTCCAAATACATAGCAAAATACAAAAAAGAAAACATAAAACTTGTATTAAAACAAAAATGCACCTGGTACTATTAAAAAGAGACAGCAACAGTCCAAATACCGCTGTATGGCATTTCTGAAATAGTTGAATGGCTCCATCTGCTGGAGAAATGCGGAATTACACACTGTCTCCAAGCGTCGTCTGAGACAAATGTGAGGTTTCATGAACTTAAAAAATAAATAAATCTGCCACTAACAAATCAATGCATTTTTCATTTTTGGTCAGCTGATATGACACATCTGCAGTGAGACATGAACTGTGAAAAAATAAAAATTAACGCAGACATTTTTGTAAAGAGAAAAATATTTCACAAAACATTGCTACTGCATAACAGTGAGTGCCCTGTTTATTCATTTTTAAACATAAACATACAAGACAATGACCTCAAAACAACCACATACAGACTTGGTGTCAACCAAAATATAGAAAATATAATATACTTTATAATTAAAGAAAAAAAAAAACAGCAACTTTGCAGAAAGCTGGAATGCTCAAGAACAACAATATTCTTAAATATATATCAGATATATAACAGATTTCATATACAGAATCATTCAGTTTTCCTTCATTCAACGTCCACATCCCTGGCACATTGCACATAATCTCAGGAATCTTGTCAAAGATTGTTTTATACAATAGTGATTTAACCTCAGCAGTTAACACAGACAGTAACATCCAGACTAGAAGTCTGTAATCAAGTTTAAATGTGGCATTTTTCAGCCTCAAAACTAATATAAAACTAAAAACATCCATGTGCACCTAGAGATGATCCAGATATCACACATACAGAACGAAGCTAATTCAAGTCAAAGAGGGCTCAGAGCATGGCACTGAAGAGGCTACAGCCACGAGTAGCAGCAAAGTTCAAACTAATACTGTGCAGATTCAAAAATTTGTTCAAATAAATTTTCAGAATTTGTTGTGCGAATGACTCATTTAGTAAAACAAAATAAATAGCCCTCAACCACAAAGTACTTAAATTGTAACTAAAAGGGCAGAAGTAACTCCAACATCTTAAGTCTTTTTCATCAGATCATCTCTAGTGGCGGTCCAGTTACATGTGCAAAATAAAGCAAAACATAACAAAAGCATAACTCCAATGCTTCAGGTCTAGTCCTCAACATTAAAGTGAAGGCAGTGTTTTATAAATACACATCATGGTCCCCCTGCGGCCTTGTTTGCTACATCCTACTGAGGTAGACAGATGCCTGCTGCAGTCATCACCTGGACAATCGCTCCCTCCCTGACAAGGCTCAAGTTTTCCGTTATCCGCTATCAGGCCTCATAAAGCTCCCAATCTTAAGTGCATCTTTCTGTGTTTTAGGACGTTTCATATCTGCAGAAACATTGTTTTTCATACCATAAAGTGAAGTTGTATTTCGGCTCTGGAGTTAAATAGAATCAAGGAAAGACAAATGTATGATTTTTGCACCTCCTTTTTAAAGTTGTGCCAAACAAAGTTGGGACACTGCACTCACAGCTTTAAACCGTAACTGGGCATGTCAGTTACAGTGGCTCTTTGTTGAATTCTAAGGGATAACCCACAGCAGTCTCCAGGCACTCCAGCAGTGAGCCAGCTGACAGGAAGTCCAGCTCCACCTCCACAAACTTGATGTAAATGGCGTACTGTTGGACAGGGCTGTCACTCCCTCCATTGTTCAGGCTGGATGCAGCGCTACAGTTCTCCTGTAGAAAGCGCGTGACAGCAGCTGGCTCCACGTGGGCTGTGTTCCTGCCAGAGCCCTGAAAGTGCTGAAACAGACTCTGCTGTAGGGGGCGCTCTTCAGCGATGCCCAGGTAACAGTATGTCACATTGGCTCCTGTTCTGTCAGTCTGTTTGTGCGCTCCGTTTTCTGATTGAGGTAAGTCTGGCTCCTCGCTCTGTGAGGAGGTCTGAGCACTGTCATTACAGAAGGGCATAGGTTCATATCCGATGGCATAGAGGCCGTAAGTCTTTGGAATGTCCCCGGGCAGGAGGTAGTGGGAGGTGGCCTTACCACAGCCCGCCGCTCTGGACAGAGAAATGGGGACCCAGTCCACATCCATGTGCAGCTCCAGGCAGCGCGCCTCACTGATTGTAATGTCTAAGAACTTATAATACACATTCTTCCAGTTCATCTTCTGGACCTTGGTCATAATGACACGTCCCTCAGGCTTCTCGGGGTTGAAGTACTCCCGTAGCCTCTTACCTAGAGGCACCTGGGAGCTGATCTCAGCGTAGTGATAACGCACATCCTCCTTCCAGCGCGTATTATATCCCACTCCAAAGATAGCCAGTTTGTTGGACAAGTGCAGCCGTGAGAACTCCGTCCACGTGTGGAAGTGCTCCCATTTTAGAGGCACGGCCTCTAGGATACGCATCACAGTCTGCATAGTCTCCCTTTTTCTGAGGAGCACAGAAACAGAACATTATGACAAACTTTCAAACATAACTTTCATTTTGATTCAGTCATGGGCAATTGTGTAATATTTTACGATTAAACTAAACCGTAAAGTAATTCATACTCACTGTGTTTGCTCTGACAACACTGACTGAAGCTGGAAAAATCTGTTTTTAGGCACCTGGATATCCTCTGTTAGAAAACAAACGATTTGCAATACTTTCAGTTACACATATTCCCCATCATTGCCTGTTACATTGAAGAAAACACCAGTACTGACCAGTCTCCATGTCTCCTTCCTGGAAAGCCGAGTCCAGGACATGGTTGCACCAGTCCTCCTGGGAGAAGTCCTCCAGTGTGCTGCTGTCAGACTCCATCTCCTGGTACAGACCGCTGCTGTTGATGAGGACGGGGGCACAGCTCTGAGCGTCCCAGCCCCCCTGTCCAAACACCTTCTCCAGCTGCTCCAGAGTGTAGCTGCTCTTCCTCTTCCCGATGCCGTGCTCCTTCACTCGGCTGTAGCAGCGCCGCAGGGTCTGGGGGCATCAGTAACAAATGTGTCATTTTTTGAAGTACTGAATATTTAGTTGTCTGTGTATTACAGTAACATACAGTATGTAACATCATCTCGCTAGTTAAGTTTACATTATAATATGTAGAGGGAATGTAGTCATTTTGCTTAAAAGATGAACTTTTTTACTTTTTCTTAGTTCCTCCCAGTCAATATCACTGCATCAAATCTAAACACACAATGGATGTGGCAGCGCACGAGCAAGCAGCACTTTGTTTATGTTGTTTTAATGTTTCATATGTAGTAGTAATAATACAACTTTACATTTGGCACAGAACTAGCCTCAGTGAGTTATGTCAGCGGTCCAATAGGTAATATCAGGGCCTGCGTCGTTCACACCTGTAGGCTCCTGAGTGTTTACGCATTTATTAAGAGTAATATATATTTTATTACTCTCTCTCGCGCGCCCTGTTGCATCCACATAGACCCTACACAGGTCCACACATGTGACAGCGGTGTGCCACACGGAGCCGTGTCTAAACATGAGGCTCCACACTCACCTTCATGCGCTCGCGGCACTGAGACGGGGTCCTCTCGTAGCCCAGATCGGCCAGAGCCCTGGACACGCGCTCGTACATGGCGGGACCCGGAGCTTTCCCGGAGAACACGGTGCCCGCCACCTCGAGCTGCTGCATCCTCGCCTCGGCCAGCCTCTCGTTCCCCCACACCGCGATCAGGGCGTTTGTCTCGGACGGGGTCCAGGACATCCCTCGGCAGGCGGTGAAGCTGTTGGCGGAGGATGAGGCCGCCATCCGCCCCGCGCTGCACGAAGAGCCCACGTTCAGAGGCGAGAAGCGGTTCGGGGTGGAGGGGTTGGACTGGTACAGGTTACCGTCACTCAGATCCTCAGACTCCGGCGATGGCATCTCTGTTTTGGGTGTCTTTAGGGGCGCCGTTATCTCTGGAGAATGCTCAGCGTTACTGGACGCCGCCATCTTGCTCTGGTTGCTAAGGGCGGAGTCACGCAGAGTGACGCCAGGGCTGAGGGGAGGGGCGAGGGCAAAACACGGACTGGATTTACTCAGATTCCCCCTGAAACACCCAATTATTGTTTGATTTATTTTGTAGTCTGAACATTTTATTATGCACTTTTACGTTTTGCTAGCAAAGGTAAATGAGATTGTCATAAGTATCACGTTTAATGTGAAACTAGCAAAAACTATGGGATTAGTTTTTGTTTTTTTGTTTTTGCTAAAAAATAAACCATGGGCTGGATTCGTTCCATGGAGGCCACGATTTTAGATGAAGAATGTAGTTTATTTAAAAGATGGATTGCTTGAACTGTTGAATTGAATTGAATTGAATGAACACCCTCTACCTAACCCAATTTACAACATGACATGAATACCTTCTCAACAGTCCACAGTCTCACAAGAGAACAGATCAGAAATCTTGAATTTGCTTGTCAAAATACAGATGTTGATAATGGTGTTTGATTTACTGGCCCAGTTCACATAAAACAAGACAAAGTTCATCATCTTCTCTGTAAGCCCAGGTGAACACATCTTTTGAAAGACCTTTAAGTACAAATAAATATGGCAAATGTAATAGCTATATCATAACTGAATAGCTTAAACTGGATTTTCTGTGTGTTTATTTCTATCAACAATTGTGAATAGGCCCTTGTCTCTAAAATGTTGTCTCTGTTCATATTATTGTAATATAAACTGAAGATATATTTGAGTTCTATTTGCCTGTTGGCTATAACACAGGGCTATGTGTATTTTATCCTTCACTGTCACTGTGGCTGCTTGAGTCAGACCTTTTATTGGATTTTGAGAGTGTAATTGGCCACTTGACAGCTGGATTGATGGATAGTGTCATTGCTCAGTTCATCTTTTTTTCTTAACAGTGTTTGATTGGTTTTCTTCTGGGACTGCAGCAGCATCTGTGCCATCTGTGCGGAGCAGTGGTCAGAGGGTCAGGGGGGTCCTGACTTGGCCTGAGGAGTTGGAGCCTTCGTTTGGAGGTTTGGATCAGGGCTAATGCACTGGCTGTTCGATAAAAGGTTGCAGACAGGAAAAGCAGAGACGGTCTGACCTTTTCATGTCGACTCTGAGGCTGTCAATGAGTCATCACGTCCATTGTTGAGAAGAATGGGATGAGCCCCAACACCTGCCGTCATAAATACTGACATGTGACAGCCATAGTTATCAGCAAACCACTGATCAATATTTGAACTTGTCAAAATAATGTCACTGTAATCATAATACTTACACCACTTTTACAATAACATAACCTCTTAGTTTTCATTTTGTTTATTTTTCTTTATTCATTACAGCACAATGATTGAACAGAATAGGAAAGTAACTATGCATGTTTCCATTACACTTTAATGCTTTCCAAGGCATATAACAAGGAATTACATTTTCATATTAAAGGTGCACTGTCCTACCAGTGGAGAGTCTGTCACCCGCTTCTCTCCATGATGAGATGTGCCTAGAATATTCCACATTATAGCAATAAATTTAAGAATTTCCACAGAGACATTACAGGTTAGATTTGTGGAGAAACAACCCTGCTCACAGTAAGAATTTATGTTTTAAATGAACACCTGTAGTTGAATAAATGCAAGACTGATTAGCAGGGATGTAACGATATCCAAATCTCTCGATACGATATTATCTTGATATGCATCTCACAGTACGATATTTATCACTATATGTTGGACAGGCTTATATAATTGTAGATAGGATGCTTTTTTGCTTTTAAAATACTCTGATAATCATAATCCCAAGAATTCAAGTAAAAAACATCTCTCTTTATGTTTTCTGCACTGAAATAAATCATGGGATATGTAGTTCCTGATTCCTTAGCTATTGCTACTATAAAAATGCATTTAAGCAAAGGACCTTGTAATTCGATATATTGTGACGCCCCACGTTACTATTGTGAGATGTCTGTCGAACAATATCACGATAGTTTGGTTTTTGTTACATCTCTACTGATTAGTTTAATGCCATAATGTGGACAATTCGAAACATCTACATCAGGGGTGTCAAACTCAAATTCACAGAGGGCCAAAATTAAAAACTGTGACTAAGTTGTGGGCCAAACTAAATATTTATTTAAAAATTTCAACAACATCTGCATGTTTTCTCTTCTTTCGAGAAATGTAATGTTAAAACTTTTCTTATTAAAATAAATGTTTAATAATAGTTTTGCTTAAACACTGAACCCAGAACAAGAAAATTTTAAATAAATAATGTCTCTATGGTTAATTTGTAGCCGGCGGGGCAGCTCTAATATATATTTGATATGATCTCGCTGGGCCAAATATAATTGTATCTTGGGTCAAATTTGGCACCCGGATCTATATGAAGACAAACAGGTTGCAGGCACTTTGGAGAAAAGTTACACAGTGCAAAAAACAAATGGGGGAAATTATGGTTGTCTTCTAAATTGTATATCTAAAAATGTGCCGCAAAAAAACTAACTAAAGCTTTCTAGAGCTCAAGATCATGCTTTTCAAAATACTATAATTTCTACTATATTAAACTAACACTTCAGCTTTATTGCCTTATGTCAGTGCGTTAATAGTTATTTCAAAATGGTCCTAAATACTGAACCTCTGCACGTCATATTAACTTCAAACTGATGTATTGAAACATTGCTTCAAGGACCAAAGACAACAGAGATAAAAGAAATGGATAACATCATTCAGAGCAAAGCAATTTTCTACATTCACATTGCCACTGACGGGCCGGTCAAGAAGTGTCCTCTAAACTTATTTTCATATACCCTATTCGTTATTCTTATAACAAGTTTTTATTTTATTACATTACGCAATCATGTGCAAAAATCTCAGTTTTTAATTTAATTGCATCATATTTTCAGTATCTAAACCTTGACTTTGAAGCATTCTTTGCATACAAATAATAATGAAAATGCGTTGTGTGAATTGCGCTGGGAGCCTCCGCTGGCCTGCTGAAATACATAGGGTCAAGTCTGTTGCGGTCTCTTTAGTGTTTAATATTCCTCAAAGAACGCCTGAACAAAATGCTGTAGATCTGTGTTAATCTGTGTGCGATCAGGAAGCGCGCCATGGATTCTGGATTCATGAGCAGACATAACTTAAACATAATGAGGTGGGACTTACTTGTACATGGAATGAATATGGACTTGGACACAATCTGAGTCCTTATATAGGGTTAGTATTTGAGACTTGTTTTGCAATTAGTCACCAAAATCTGTGGTAAAATACAATGTTGTTTATTTAAAGGTCCTATATTACACACAATTGGCTCTCATGAGGTTTAAGCCATGCCATAATGTTGTTACTTCATCAAAAACATGCCTGGAGTTGTGTTTTGTTTCATTCACACATTTAAGTAACCCTTTTATTACTCTGTACATCTCCAAAGCTCAAAATGCTCTGTTCCACCTTGTGATGTCATGACGCTGTAGTCAAGTTAAAAACTTGCTTTTTTAAAATATTTTGTTCAGTAGAGATTTGCAGTTCCAGGACTGAAATTACCCAAATGATTCTAGTGAAGGTGTATGGAGTTTAGAAACACAGTGGAGCCCACTGTGACCACATGACCTCACAATAAGGCTGTGCAATTAATTGAATTCTGGTTGCGATTTCGATTTGTGTGTCAAATGATCTCCAAACTCATATAATCGAGTTGAAACGATAAAGCTTAACAAAGTTTAATTTGGGATATTTTTTATATAAATAAGTATATTTATTTTACTTTTTAAATATAGAGTTTATAGAACAATTGGATATATAGTTTATTTTGGGTACGTTTATGTTTTTCTATGCCTTATTTCATGTTCAAAGTATATTTTATTCATTTTATGTTTTATACTTTGCAAAACTGCTCTAAGGTACATATTTGTAGCCTGTATTTATTTTCAGTTTGAAAGTTTTGCGTAAATGATCAATAACAAAGTGTTTTTTGAGAGAGAGAAATGCTGAATAAATGCACCGAGTAACTAAAAAATAATCGTTTGAATAATTGTCATTTCAATATTGACCAAAATAATCGTGATAATGATTTTTTTCCATAATCAAGCAGCCCTACATCACAAGGTGGAGAGTGTTTTCTCTTTGTGAGAAGAAGTCACCCCAAATATGCAGCTTTTGAGTGTTAAACAAAACACAACTACAGCTGTTTGTGATGAGGAAACAACATTATAACATAGATCCAAAAATAGTGTAATATGGGCACATTAAATAGTAATTTTGATAATCTGCACACTGGGCCCATCTCTGCTTATCTTCAGAGATCAAATGACTGTAATTTTGGATCAGTTGGTTTGTTAATTTACTAATAGTGGTTTGAACTGATATTTTTGAAAGTATATGTAAACTACTATGGCTATACAGTTTTACTATTTATGTCAAGCTGTAGGCCAAGAGCAAAACTGGATCAAATGAAACAGAAAATGCACACCAAAGATTTTGTAGAGGTGCAAATGCAACAAACAGCTAAATGAAAGTGAAAAAATGCATAGCACACTCAGATGTCCAAAAGCTTTTTTATTTTTATTTTTAAATAACCTTTTGGCATAAAAAGCCTATGTCAGATATTTTTCTTGCTTGTTTACTGTGGCTCAAAGCAAGAAAAATATCTGACGAAGACTTTTTTTTTTGCCTAAACGTTATTTAAAATTGAAAAAAAAAAGCTTTTGGACATTAGCCATCTGAGTTTGCTATGCATTTTTTCACTTTAATCAAGAGCAAAACTGGATCAGAAATACTAACTACAGCCACTAGGGGTCACCAATGATTAGTTTAAAGGTGTACTGTGTAACCTTTGTACAAGGAGGACCACTTTATTTTGTGTTGCTTGACCTGGAAAGTCCATGAAGAGAGACTGATTTAATGTCACACTGTGGAATATTCTAGACAAAGCAATAACCTCCCCACAGAGACAAGCAAGTGGTGCATTGTGTAACTTTTCTGTTGGGGGTCCTTCATGTTCTTGTAGTAG